ATATATGTATATATGTATATATGTATATATACATACATACATATATATATATATATACACAACACACACACACACACACACACACACACACACACACTCGTAGTAGTAGAAGTAGCAGAATACTGCTGTGACATCTTTCCTCTCTTTCACAGTCCACACGAGTTAACTCTTAAAAACTTTTCTCATTTTCTGAAACGTCCTTAGGCGACAGGAAACCGGAGTTTCTGCTCCATCACCAGATTATTAGAGCTCAATTGTGTCCAGTCGACTCTATAGGAGGCTTTTATTTTGTAGTAATTCTCTTCATTAATGGATGTTATTTAGTTTAGCAGACGGAGAACTAAACGCTGGTCAATGGTTCAACCGCAGGAGACAACGATCCTCTGAGCAACAGCTGAATACGTTTAGATTTAAAAGAGGAACAGCTTATATACGTGATGAATGTCAGCTGGACACTATCGAGACATGTGGTCCCAAGCGCTGAGTAGTCAGAAGGGAGAAGCATTATAAAGTACTCATGAGGAGAACGGCTTCAGGCTGAGCCGCTCTATCTAAAATAGAAATCCTCATTCTGAAGACGAGGAAGATTAATCCTCCTCTCACGCTTTTAAAAACACAGATTCAGCAAAGTCAAAATGAACTCCGAGCTGTGAGCCGAATGTATTTAGTTGTTATTTAGTAGAAGAATCCGGACATTTGAGACGGTATTCATTCAGCTCACCTGCTCCGGTGTAGAAGGGGTTTCCCAGGCGCGGCTGCAGGGACCCTCCTCTCCCAGCTCCTCCCATCATGCCTCCATCGCTCCTGTGCAGGACAAACGTCCCGTCTCCTCCTCCTCCTCCCGCTGCTCCTCCTCCTCCTCCCCCTCCTGCGTTGTTCCCCAGGTATCCCCGGTTGTTGTACCTCCTCCCTCCGGCCACACTCCCGTCTTTGATCCCCGCCGGTTTGGCCAGCGTCACCTCCACAGTGGCCCCGTCGATCTGGGACCCGTTCATGAGGCCGAGCGCCGCGACGGCGTCCTCGCGGTAGCGGTAGTGGACGAAGGCGTAGTCGGTGAGCTTCTTGACGCGCTCCACGCAGCCCGGCTTGAAGCGGGAGAACTCCTGGCGAAGGGTTTCTTCGCCGGTGGTCAGCATCAGGTTACGCACCTGCAGTAGATCAGAGAAACACAGGACGTTACCTCCAACGCTGCCTCCAGCAGTTAAGCTAGTTAACCATCTACCAGGAGATTTGTATTTAGCGATGCTAGCAGTTAGCTAGCTACCGGGATATTTGTTCCTAGCAATGCCAGTGGGGGAAAGCTAGTTAGCTATCTACCTTACGTGTCATCACTCTAGCTTGTTTCTGATTGGAGGAATCAAGTGTGTTACGATGGCGACTGAAACACAACAGAACGGTTTGTAAAATCATTTCGGAGTACATGAAACATCTCCTTTAAATCAGTTGTTCTGTTAGCAGTAGCTCTCACACACACACACACACACACACACACACACACACACCTTTGTTTACCTCTGGGCCTAAAGATACCCTCCCTCCCTCCTCTGTAAAGTGCTTTTGAGTTTCTATCTGCTGCCCTCACATCACGTCTCAGCCCTCCTCAGTAATTGATCCCCTGGAGGGCGAGCAGCTCGGTGTGAGTCCATAAATAAACTAACATTATTTCTGATGGATTTTTTAGGACCAAACACGTTTAAAGTGTAAATCAAACTCACGTAAAGGACTCTGACGCGCTGCATCACCTCCTGGTCCACGTCTTTCTCCGGCTCGGCCCAGTCCACCTGGATGGAGTGACCCCACAGCTGGAAGGTTTCTGTTTAAAAATAACAATAATAATGATAAAAAACATTATTATTGAGCCAGTGATTATACGTTCAGCCCATCGTGTCAATGCTCTTTATAATTTAGAGCAACGCCCACAAGGGACTTATAGACCACAGATACCTCGATACAAACGGAGAAGTTCATCTCCCGTTGGACTGATGAAGCGGTGAAAGGTGCTGTGATGCGTGCCCGGTCTACTAAAGACACGGAGCTAAACGCTGATGCAGCTAATCCGACATGTCCTGCAGTAGATGATGAGTCGATGGTGTTCAGTTTGTGTTGATTCAACGGTCTTGGATATTTTGGAGGATGTAGATGTTGATGTAGGTGCTGCTGTTTATGTCCAGATGTTATCTGAATTATCGATTCAACCGCACACTGTTTTCTTGATTTATGGATTCAATATTTGGCCGATAAAATGTCAGAAAACAGTGTCTGAATCCCCCAAATTCTTGATTTACTCTCACATAATTCAAAGAAGAACAGCAAATCCTTCAAAATGAAGACGCTGTAGGAAGGAAAAGCTTAAATGACTTTAACGATGATTAACTTTCTGTAGATGCATTAAAGGTTTCTATAATCTCCTCCACAACGTTTCTACCAATGAGTGTTGACTCCACAAACTTCATCCAGGACCTCCTGCAGCACTGTTGTGGTTTTAGCCGGTTGTACCTAATGAACTGGACCTCAGACTCTTTGCTGCAGTGGTCTGTGTTCTGCCGTCCTCTGCTGGACACAGACGGGAACTGACCCAGAGTCAGCCTCAATGCGTTACCTGGTATGAGCTTCCTCCGGGCCGTGGCCGCCGCTTTGTGGGACTCGTACTCCACGAAGGCGAAGCCTCGGTTCTTGCTCTTGTCGGTGGAGCTCGGATACACGATTACATCCACCACGCCGTCCGTCACCTGAGGGAGACACGGACAGTTTACAAAGATGATCTCTTTCCACTCTACACCGTCACATGAAAGAGAAGCTTCTTCTTCTTCTGTGGTGATCGTTGCATACCTTGGTCATCTCCTCCATGATGTCCTCCTTCCTCTTGTCTTTGGGGATCGAGCCGATGAAGAGGCGGCAGTTGTCCAGACTCACGCACACGCCCACGAACTTCCCCGGACGGATCTCGTAGTTGTCCAACGTCTGGATGGCTCTCTGCGCCGTCTCTCTGGAGCACAAACCACAAACAAACACCAACACGTCATCAATCGGGTCATGATTTCACTTTGGTTTTAAACGTGTAAAGCTCCTCTCTTTCAGTTCCACTTCCTCAACATAACAGCGGTTATTAAGCCACATTTTCAGACATAATACTACAGAATAAAGAGTTCAGCAGCAGTTGATGTACTTGTAGAAATTAAACTTTTTTTCTGCTACCTGTTGGTGTACATGATGAAGGCATAGCCGCGGTTCTGTCCGCTGAACTCCATCATCAGTCTGAACTCGTAGATCCGGCCGGCTCTCTCGAACAGCGGGATCAGCGCGTCCTCGTACAGGTCTCTGGGGATCTTCCCCACAAACACCTCGCAGCCCCGGGGGGGAGCCGGGCCCTCCCAACCTGCAGCACAAAACATGGGGCGTCAAAACATACAGCGTCAAAAAACACAGCGAGAAAACGCACTGCGTCAAACACGCAGAGCGATCTTTGTAAAACAGAACACATAAATACATAGATATAAATGTACTGAATTGTTGTTTATTAAACTATTGATTGATTGAACAAATTGTCACAGATAACCAAGCTGTTTGAGTGAATATTGGACCGATATCGCCGCATCTGGAGAGCTGAATTCAGGAATTATCTGCACCGAACTTCATTCAAACGGACAATGGACACACACACACACCTGGCGGCGGTCCTCCGTACTTCCTCTGGCCGTTCTCCTGCACCATGTTGTATCCCGTCTTCTCCATCAGAGCCAGCAGAGCCACATCTTTGGTGTTGGACGCCTTGAACTTGTCCTCACCCACCAGAGGGCTGACTTTACTGGAGTCTCCGTCCATGTCTCCATCAGAGTCACAGTCCCAGTCTGTCCAACGGAAGAAAAACAAAAACACAAGTTAACCGTCAAACATACGACGGTCGACAAGAGCTGCGAGAAAGAAACACTTAAAATGTGCCTCCAAGTCTTAGAAATTAATCTGACTTTCATCACATTTAAAGATTTATTTTTACTGTAACAGGTGTTTGTTTGTTTTTGCTTTGCATGGGTTACTACTGCTGCTGGGAAATATGATATATATATATATATATATATATATATATATATATATATATATAGATATAGATATATATAGAGATAGAGATATATATGTTTAGCCTTGTTAGCTAGCTTAGCTGGCTAACGTAGCTATTAATAGTGTCTTATTTATTTAGAATTTTCAGTAATGCTAACAGTTTAAATGGAGAAATCAATAATCAAAATACTCATCTAGTTCTAGGCCAAACGTTACTTATATAAGACTTTGAAAGGAGGAAATAAAGTTAAACTACTCTTCAAGTCAGCTAGCTAGCTGACTTAATAGCTAACAGTTAGCGGACTTAATAGCTAGGTGACGTAGCTAGCTGACTCCATTTCCTGTGGACCCCTATGAACCGGTTCAACGACCTTTGAAAGCTCCCCGGTCCCACTCATTGAGCAACAGTGATGAGAGGACGTTAGCCTATAACGTTAGCTAATAAAAGTATATGAGAGTAGTAAAAAAACGTCCACAAATACAACATCGCGAGCTAAAAAACTAGCACAGCGGCCGCCATTGAGTTAGCAATTTATGCTAGCGGCTAATGTTAAACAGCCGTTTTTCTAGCTAACGGTTAGCTTGTTTAATTTACGTTAATTCAAGTTATAACTAAATAAATAAACTCTTACCGAAGTTGTTTTCTGCCGCCATTTCTTCTCACGTTTTTTAGATAATTAAAATATGAATAAAGTATTAACAGTTCAACGACAACGTGACGTCACTTACGTACTTCAATTAAAACTTTATCGGAGAAAAAAAACCTACCTGGAAACAAACTGGCGGAGGATTTGATTGGCACGAAGGCCAGGCCATGTGAGCCAATCAGCGCGTGGATGTGAGGCACGGAGGGCGGGACTACATGTAGATACGTATATGTACGTAAAATCAAATAAACATGAAATAAATATATTTAAAATTAGATCAAACGTATAATAAAACATTACAAGTTAAAAAAAAAAAATAAATAAAAATTCTAAATTAAATGAAAAGTAAAGAATACCCCTTTTTGTTCTTATATGTTACCATAATTAAAGATTTTTAATGAAAAGGAGTTTAAAAATACATCTTTGCTTTTTCTTGCAGGTACATATGAGTAATTCAGTTCATAAGTGTGGTTCCAGTGGTCCAAATATATAAAATAAAATATAAAATGTAAAAAGCTATGAAGGAGGTAGAGGAGCAGACATCGTCATGTTATCTATATTGTACAAAAATAAAAATGATTTGTTTGTGGCGTTTTCTTTTATTCAGCCACGGAGACAAACAACTCACTCACTGCATTTCCTCTGACCTTTAGTGGTTACCTATTTTATATTAATATACAATATATATTTCTAAATTATATACGGTAAAATTAAACATATTAAATGAGGTAAAAGTAAAGGGCTGTGAGGAATTACTAATAAATAAATTACTAAATAAAATATAACTAATATTAAATAAATGAAAGATAAATAAAACGCAATCTATTTAAATTGGAAAAAAGTAAAGGTGTGAGGATGTATCAAAAAATTTAAAAATGAATCAGATGACAATATGAACTCAGATTAAATAAAACTAACAGCGTCCTCTCGTTTGTTTTGTGTACCACTTTTTTTGTTGACTGTAGAACTCTACATCAGCTGATTAATAATTATTTATTATTTAAATAAATGAATCAGAACAATGAACGTGAACGTGACAGCTCTTTGTTATAGTCTCAGTAAAAGTTCGGACCACTAACCGGCAGCTTCATGACGCAACATCGACACTAGAGAGAGGACCAAGTCCATCGTCTGACCCCCCGACTGGTGGAGGATAATTAATTCACAATAATGAGTCTAAATAGTCACAAAACAAGACGGCCGATCACATTAAATATTGATGGACAATTAAAACAGGAACTCACGAACGTACAATAACAAGAACAAACGTCTTTTTGTCTCTTTTTATTTGTGTGAGTTTGAACTCTTCCTCCTCAGCAGTGAGGCCTTCGTCATCCCGTCATCAAACACACAAACAGGTCTGAGCATCAGATCCAGAAGTCTGGACCAAGATGAGACGGAATGATCTTCAAAGACAAAAATTCAGAGAGAAAACATTTTTCACTAAAGGTTTATTAAAATGTAACGACTTTTCAGCGATAAAAAATGACAAAAAATTTTTGATTTTATCAAGACGATATAAAACAGGTGCCAACGTGAACACTAGTTTAAGTAAACAAGGAAAAAGAAAACGACGTCACCAACATCACAACTTCTTCTGTTCACACCGAACACCACGCTAAAAAACAAGACGCCAAAATACGCCTCGTTCGCACTATTTTTGAGTGTAGATGGAGCTGCTAACAATGTTAGCGTAGCCTAGCACCAATATAACCAAACTGCATTTTAAAAGCTGTTTGCTTGTCGTCTTGCGGAGAGAACTAACAAAACATTCAGACTTTTTACAAATCGTCATCATTGTGCAGTTATTTTGGCATCTTTTTTTATCTGTTTGTGATTAAAACACAAGTAAAATTAGAATTCGCTTCACGTTTGGTGTGAACGCAGCATGAAGAGATGTTTCTACTTCCTGCTTTTATTGTGAAAGGAGACAAGTTAATTGATAGCTATCGATTGTTCAAGCGATTTTTTTTTTTATGCAGCAAAACCAGCCAAGCTCTGATTTCTGCTCCTCTTGTCTGTAGGTGCAGCCACAACAACAAACACGCTGACATAAAATGACTGTTAGTCAGACTATAGTGTGCAGAGAAGCTGGAGGAAACGTCTCGTCTCTGAAGAACGTTCAGGATGAAGCGGCAGTGTGAATGCGTCGGTGGACGTTAAGGGTGTTGCTCTGTGAAAAGGTTTTCCCACACTGGTCACACTGGTGCGGTCTCTCCCCGGTGTGGACGCGCTGGTGGACTTTGAGGTTGCCCATCTGGGAAAAAGTCTTCCCGCACTGATCGCAGTTGTGCGGTTTTTCCCCGGTGTGCGTGCGCCGGTGGATGTTCAGGTGGTTGGCTCTGCGGAAATTTTTCCCGCAGTGGTCGCAGCTGTACGGTTTCTCTCAGGTGTGAATGCGCCGGTGGACCGCGAGGTCGCCGATCTGAGGAAAGGCTTTTCCGCACTCGTCGCAGCTGTGCGGTTTCACTCCGATGTGGGCGCGTTGATGGGCTTTGAGCGAGCTGCTGTCGAAGAACGTTTTCCCACATTGGTCGCAGCTGTACGGTTTCTCTCCCGTGTGAAAACGCCGGTGGATTTTGAGGTAACACCGAGTGGTGAAAGCTTTCCCGCAGACGTCACACTTGTGGAGCTACTCTCCGGTGTGCGCTCTCTCGTGGACCTTTAAGTAGCTGATCGTCGTGAAGGATTTGTCACAGTACTGGCAACTGTGGCATTTGACTCCTCCTCCTCTTCTTCCTCGTTTCTTTAGCAACTGACAAACATACACAAAGAGAGAAAGTCAGTAGGAAAAAAAAAAGACAAATCTTCAGTCTAATTTCTGTCGTGATGCATATTTGTTCCTTTACCCTGAACATTGAATCCACCACCAAACCTCTCCGATGGCATTTCGCCGTCACAGAGAGAGAGCTACAGGAAACGGGTGAAGCAAAAAAAACATGAAACAACATCCCTGTGATCTACTCAACTCTGACACGCTTTAAGATTCATTTTATTCTACTCCAACAGAATGTAAACACACTACCCTGATTTCAAACTTCACCATCATCATCTGCGCAACAATAATCAGTTCATAGACCAGAAAGTAGGACTTTTATGATCTGCTATAAAACAGAAAGAAGAAGAAGAAGAAGAAGAAGAAGAAGAAGAAGAAGAAGAAGATCTGCTTCTACAAATGAAGTCGCATGTCGACGCTGCGGTCAGTAGCTCTTAGAGGTTACGCTACATTTTAGTTTTTAATCTGTTGTCTTTTCATCTTTAATACCGGAGCGTTTTGTTTTTTTGCCGTATGATGAAACAGACTCAGCATCAGAAGAGAAGAACGCGCGGAGATCCTGGAACCGTCACACGATCGTTAACATTAATTAAAACATCAAAAATATTTTGTTGATTTTTTTTGTTTGTGAATTTTAAATTGAATTTGTTTCTTATTTATTTGTTTTTGCTGTTAACAATGAAGCGAAGTTAAATTATTATTTTTAAGGTGTAAAAAGTTGTATTTGATCCAGAAAACAAGATGTTGAATGGAGGCCCTAAAGAGCCAGCTGGTGCGTCTTAAAGTTGGACGATGATTTGAACCGTCGCCCTCTGACTCACTCGTTTTATTGCTTTCACTTCACAAACAAAGTGAAACCGGAACCTGGTTCAAAACGGGAACTGGTTCTAAAAGAGTAAAACCCGTTCGTATTGATGAGGTCCAGAGTTAGCGGTTCTTCTATCGGTACTTTCTTAGTTCCAGAGTGAGACGTCCTCGTCTCAAACGTCCTGTCTTTGTCTTTGTCTCTCTCAGTACAGCGTGAGACTCACATCGCGATCAGAGAGAAGAAAACATTGTAGAACTCAAACACAATAAAACCCTCACAAGTAAGTTCATCACAACATGTGACCAACAAGCAGAACATCCGTCTGCAGAAAGGACGGTTAGCTAGCTAGCTCCTCCACCTACAGAGCTAGCTCGATAAGTAGCGAGTCTCCTCCAGACGATGAGTGAGGCAGAGGGACCGTAGATCCAGCGCTGCCTCTGGCCACCAGGCGGCTGTTAGGCTTGTCTTAACCAGTGTAGCATTAAAGCACGGTGGAATTAGCACGCTAGCTACGTAGCCAGCCGTCTGCTGGTTGGATACTTTGATGCTACACTGGTTCCAGAGAGTACGCCCAACAGCGGACCATCTCTTCATCTTTCAACAGTTTAGCCTCTGAGCAACATTTCAGAACTGCAAGTGAAATAATTAAATACGTGAAAACATAATATTTATTACTCGATATCCTCGATGTCTTTTTGTCGACTCACCTTGCATGTGGCCGGTTTTCATCACCGGTGTTTGTAATCCGTGAAGAACGGCGTCGCATCGTGCTCCTCAACGATTTCTTTGCTGCCTGGAAGAAATCAAGAGTTGGACTTGAGCCTCGACTCCAGCATCAGGGCTGGGTTCCTGGTTTTCTTCACTGAAAGAAGTCGGAGAGTAAAGGTGAATGTCTAGTGAGCTCACGACATTCACCAACTTGATCGTGACCAAGATATGTGAACAAACCAATCATGACCGATTATACATACCTGGGCACCACAATCGATAACCGCCTGAAATATTATTAAAATACGGAAAGAGGCCAGAAACGTTTTTGTTCAAGATTGTTCTGTTCAGCTTCTATCTGGTCCGTCATCTCAGCTCCTAAGAGGTGAGATGACGGACCAGATAGACTGGTGCTCTGTCCTGGCTCTCTTCACCTTCCTCTTCCTCAGTGTGGCCTGAGACGTCCCGGATCCCAGAGTCCTCCACAACTAAACAAGAAGTACCAATAAATAAAAGCAGATCTTTTCCTGAAGTAGAAGTACTAATACCATGTTATAATATATGAGTATAATCAGGAGAATGTACTTCAAGTATTAAAAATAAACTTCATTCGTTTTAAAGACGTACTCAGCTCAACTCTGTACTGTTTCTCCTCCTCAGGAGGTTCTCCTCTTCCTCCTCCTCCTCCTCCTCCTCCTCCAGCCGGCGGGCAGACAGGAAACTGATCATCTGGATGAGAGACAAAGTTTATTTTTTGAATGAATGAATGATCCTCAGACCTCCAGCAACAGTTCAAAATGAATATAGTTCATGTTGTACTTCAGGAAACTTTCATAGTGTTGATTCTGTTGCCACGGTGGACCGGTCTCTGCTGGAGGATCTGGGTCTGTCCACGGTGGACCGGTCTCTGCTGGAGGGTCTGGGTCTGTCCACGGTGGACCGGTCTCTGCTGGAGGGTCTGGGTCTGTCTTCGGTGGACCAGTCTCTGCTGGAGTCTGAGCTGAAGGGGTTTCTGGTGAACCTGCATGAGTTCATCTGGTTTCACCAGAATCCGACCCGGTGGCTCCGATGACGAGCATCAAGAATAACTAGAGAAACAGACCATCTTCTCTCTGATGGTCTCTTTACTGATGGAGGTCTGATAGAGGATCAGGACTACACTGAGATTGGTTCAGGACCAGATAGAAGTCCCAGTGGAGGTGTAGTAGTACTGAAGTACAAAGCAGCAGAAAATGGAAGTACTCAAATAAAAGTACCACACAACTGTACCTAAGTTATATATATATATATATATAAGACAATGTCTCTATTCAAAAATAATATATGTATCGCTATTATTATGTATTATTATTATTATATATAAATTATAATTATTGTAAATTATTTTTCGTCAAAAAGAAGAAATAAACTAGAAACACGGGAATAAGTAGGCGTCTCCGGTGATCGTTACTGCGCATGTCTGGCTCATTCCGAACGAGCCTGTAATCCACAGGATGTCAGAAATACCCGGATGTTGTTACTGTAAGTAGTATACAGTGTGGTGCATGTAGTAGAGGGCCTTAGTTGTGTTATAAAGTTTATCGGCCAGGATTCCTCTCAGAATCTCGGCTTTAGACATGGTGCCCGGGCCGGAGGGAGCCTCGGCTTCCATTGTTGCTTGTGTGCAGGCGCGAATATTGTCCGACTAGAAACATGGACCGTAGACTTCTTCTCTTTGGTATTTAATGGCGGTTGGCAAACAACGTTATGGCCTCACTACCGCCGCCACGTGGGACAGGATTCTAATCATGAAAAGATAAATATATATATATATTCATAATATATGTATATTTACATATACATAAATATATTACATATATTCATAATTATATAAAAAATATATTATTATAAATATATGTATTTCATTGCTCTAAACTCTTTTTTCAGGTTTAATGTCTGAATGTTTTAAGAGCGTAAAGTCCTGATTAATATGGATCCGATCATTTTAGTTCATAAACGGTCTGACTTCCTGTTGTTTTGTGACTTTTCTTCTTTGTGTCGCTGGTTAATGTGTTGAAGGAGCAAATGTATAAACAGTCCAGATGTCTGGTCCAGCTCGATGTCGATATAATAACTATAAATATGGTTTATAGTTGCTTAAATACTATATATAGAAACACTATATAAAGCTTCACCAGGTTTAAATCTTCTGTTTTTCTCTTTGTAATCTTTCATGAAGATGTTCTTGTTCAATAACTTCCCACTTTTCATGGGATTCATTCATTAACAGAGACAGAATATTGATTAGACTGAGCTAAATAAGGCCAGAAGTTCCAGTCGGTTTGTGGGAAACTTTCAATCACAAAAATGTCACCCAGACGTAGAATTATAAAATGCTGAATTTAACTGCACAACAGCTGCTAGTAAAGACAACAAGGTCAGCTACGCCTAGTATCCGCTATACATGTTGAACTAACCTGGCAGTACATCGATAATCAAGGCTGTGGTTGTTTATTGTCTGCCGGTGGCGTGACGAATCAGTGAAGAGACGAATCGGTGAAGAGACGAATAGGCAACAGTGGGGGAGAGACAACACAGTTTGTAGCAACGCTTTCCTGTGAGAACCAACTTTGCGGACACTTGCGACCCTCACGAATGGTTCTCCCCAAGTGGAAACTTCCAGTTCTGCCAAGCGAAGCAAATTAGGAAGTGTGTTAAA